AATGTAGGATATAACAAAACAATAAAGTTCTAACATTGTTTATTTTGTAAATTGCAACATTGCTTACGTGTTGAAAGCTGGTAAACTATATTTCAATATTGTTTACACATTGTTTATCATCAAAATTGTTTACGCATTGATTATCAGCCCGACGATCCAGCCTACGATCATTGCAAAGCTAATTAAAATAACAATGACCTTCGTAGTGGTTCGTAGCTACGTTCAAAATGTACCTACGAGCAGATTACGAGAGGTTACGTGCAGATACGAAGCGGTAATTTGTGTCTGTACTGTATTTTGGTTCAAAACATTGGAAGAAATCATCGTGATGTTTAAATTTGAGCTAGGTGACCTATTACCTACACACTGAGTGCACTGAGTGCCTCTCCCCCCCCCCCCCCAGCTAGAATGCACCAGAGACCATATGATCTAGGCAAACAAATTTCCCACCCCTAAGCGGGCCCTGGACCCACGCCTATTGGAGCCCCTTCCATGGCAGAATCTCAAGCCAGCACTTCCCTCGAACTTGGCATATATGCTAATAGTGTTTTGTGCTACTCAACAAGTGAGAGAAAATCACAGAAAGCCAAATAACGGCATGGTGGATGATTTCTTACAATAAAACAATGTACAATAATATTGTACATTTTCAAAAAACCGAAAGGTTCACTGATTAATCTCAGATAAGAAAGTATAATACATACTCCAAGTATTGAAATACACGCCATTGTACATTTTAGTCATTAACTTTTTGGTGGTTGAAAAAACAAGTGAAGGAATACAGTGCTTTGGTATTCCCCTTTTCACCGCAATATGTTTTGTGCTTTCTAACCTATTAGTGAACATGAACCAATAGATCAACACTAAATGAGGATGCCCACTATGCCAATTTTCATTTTTAAAAAAGCATAAAATAGTGGACATTTCTTTTCGGAAGACTTAAGTTTAATTTACATGCACCAGAAGACTTTGGGCTTAATTGACTAATTGTCGTTGATAAATGTTTGCATTTTTAGGTAAAGTAAATATTTATTGATTGAATGAATAAATAAATGATTTTAACTTTAAATTTTGTTCTTTTTCTAAGACAATATTCTGATTTCTTTTAAATAATTTTGTACTAATTTTTGCACCAAAACATTTACCACCTTGAAATATAAAACATGTATGCTCAAATTATTAACTATTATCTAAAATACGAAGTATGGGACAATGATTTCAGCTGATTAACCACCCATCATACTGTACAGGTAGACACGATTCTGTTCAAATCTAATCACAATAAAGCTCCTTTTTCATAGCACATGTTGATGCTAATAAAAAACAAAACAAAAAAAAACAAAACAAAAAAAACACCAGAATGAATCATTTTTTGTAGTATGCATTTCTCCATTGAAGGATGCTGTTTCTAGGATTTGGCCAGCATGATTGTTGTGGTTTTCTAGCCTTGGACTAGAAATCCAACCATTAATCAATGCTTTCAAATTTTAGCTGCTAGAACTGTTGAATTGAATTTAGTGGCACTTTAAATTATGAAAAGTAGCCTGATTGATTCCTACGAAAAAAAATAAATGCACTACATTTGTATTTATTGTCTAGATTTTCTTGTACAAATTGCGTATAATGTTAATAACAACACACTTTTTTGTAGCCATCTAACATGCGATTATTCATCCTAGATAATGTGCGCTTCAAATGTATTTATTAAGATTACAAGCACATTTGTTGTAAATTTGGAAATAAGAAAAATTGCATGAATAAAAATGACTTTTATTTAAAAAAGTTTGTCCGAGAAATATTCATATTTCAATGTCATTTGAATAGAAAGAAATTCTTTGGTGTACAGTACATTATTGTGTTTTGTTGAATGATTTTGAACATCTACCAACAAATACCTGTTTTGTTTTTTGTTTATAATGAAATCAACAAAAATAGAAGATGTCACTAATTAAAATATCATTATATTGCTGTAAAAAAATTATTACATTGAATTTAATGTCTGATATAAAGTTTTATTATTTTGTAATGAAATGTTTCCTTCAAAATGTTCTTAGACAATTGGAAAAAAAATTTAATATTTGTAGCTGTGGATATTAAACATCTGTGGTATGATGTGTACTTAAAAATATTTCTATTTTATCCACTCTAGAAATTTCTGAAGGTGTAATATTTAATGAAATATATAAAATATATTGTTTTCGCACAATGTACTAGAAGTAACACATCCTGTTAAAGACTTCTTAAATTAATATCATAAAGGCTTTAATATTTCTTTTTGTAAAAAAAAAAAAACAGAATAAAAATTATAATTTACACTCTTCTGATGAATTCAATAAAAAAAAACGTAAAAACTGTGACTCAATGTGATTCATGCTAATCATCATAATCTATTCTTTACCTGCAGGGTAAAAACTACATGTATGATCATGTCTTCAAACCAAATGTCACCCAACAGGAGGTGTATGAAAAGGCAGCCAGCGCTATTGTCAAAGGTGGGTACAGAACTGAGAGATATTGTAAATGATGGTTCATCACACACCAAATACATTTCATCACCTCCAGGTGCTTCAGCCTGTCTAGGGTACTAGCACCTCAACACCTGATCATATATTTAGCATAATTCATCATTGCATCGTCAACATCAATCGCCGCCTCATGTTCATTAAAATCACTGTCAATATCACATCTTCCATTGTATTTTTTATATCAACTTTTTTATATCAACACCATAGTCATTATTATTATTTATAGTCCTACTTTGCAATTTATATCATCATTATAGATTATGATCAGTCATTACCATCTTCATCTTAAACATCATTATCATCTTAATACCAACGTCCTTATCTTTATCCTCCTCATCATCTTTATCATCAACATCATTATTTGATCATAATCACCACCATCATTTCCATCATCAATTGCATATCATCAACAATTCAAATTTATTTTATCACTCTATTCCTACTGTAATTACTTTTCATCCAAGGACGCCTTAATACTTTATGTTTCAAATTGATTGCCACTTCGAAAATGGTGCCCGTGTACATTAAAATCTACTAATTACTATATTCATAGTAGTAAAACAGAAAAAAAACTACCAAGTATTTTTCACAAAATATGTTATAGTCTAATTGGTGCACTGTTAATGTTCGTAATAAATACAAGTTTAATCACTGTCTATCATCTATCATTTCAAGGTCATCACTTATCATTAACGATAATTAACTTGTTTTTAACCTTGAGATAAACCCCTAGCTCAAAATCTGTAGACTTACATTTCAAGTGTATTATAGCCTTAGGCCAAATTTTAAACTCAACAAGTTCTGCGTCTCCACCCGTTTTCCTTTTTTTTTTTAAATACTCTATTTTTAATACAAACAAAATGAATACAGTAGCACCTTCTGTAGACTAATAAAAATTTAATGAAACACAAGCTTGAGCTAGCTTCATCAGGTGAATGAAGTGAAAAGCACATAGCACAAAAATTTAAAAAAAAAAATTTTTTTAAATAAAATAAATAAATAAATAAATTAAAAAAAATAAAAACAGAAAAAATAGCATAAAAATCAACAGAAACCGTAATGATAAAGGTATAGTGATATAAAAAAAGTATAATAGAATATGATATAAAATAATAAAGTATCAATAAGAATGGTAAATAGTCAATGAAAAAGATATTGCGAAGGAATAAGGGTTTAATAGTGCGACAGGAATCCACGATCTCGGTTCCGTCCTTTGTTTATAGAATCAGATTTATTAATCCTTTTTTGTTCAGAGATCATTCTATTTTTAATGTAATTTTTAATTTATTGTCAACAGTAATTTTCAGGTTAAACCAAAAAATGTAAGACAAAGGAATATGAAGAGCACATTGCCTGTAATGAATATCTTACTTTTTTCATACTGTATAATAATATAAATTTCAAAATTATCATCATTTTAATAATTAAATACAATATCTTATGCAATACAGTATAGTGTAGGTGGGCTTGGCAGTACAGTATGCAAGTAAATTATTTAACCCTGCCACACTCAAGTAGATTGAGTACTATTATTAGCATAGCGTGCAATTTAGCTTGGCAAAATCCGCTCATTGTGCAGTGGGCTTTATGTGGAATGGTGATGAATCTGAAATCTCATTACCGTACATCCTTGTCTTTCAGCCTACTTCCCTAGTAAAACACAAGTTTGGAGGGTTTTTATGTGGGAACCAAAAAATGCAAAGAATAATGTACATTAGGCCTTCTATCAAAGTACTACTAACTACTCTACTGTTGCTTGAAGCTAGACTTCGCAGGAAAAAATTATTAATGTTGCAAATTTTTTGAGAAGGGTTTTTGAAGGGAATGAATGGTTAATATGGTACAGATTTTTGAATATTTACAAACTGGGGGAAAGTGTTGGTTATTCCCCACTTCCTCAGCAGTGGCATATTTTTAGGGGTGTGCGGGATAAATTCCCCGTCCCTCCAAAATAACTTTCACCTTCCCAGTTACCTATTCATGGAAAGAGAAATTTTAAGTACAGAACATCAATCTTGTGGAATAATCTTCCTGTACATATTCGCACAAATTTTAAGTTGCTTAGTCTAATTGAATTTAAAAATCTTTTATAATTTCTATTGTACATAGTTTTTACTTTAAATTTTTACCTTTCTTTTATTTTCTTGTAATGTTCCTATAAATCTGGACCTCTTGTGAGACCAGTACTTTATTGTATTGAAAGAGCCATTCAGAATAAAGAAAGATTTGTATTGTATTTGTATTGTATTGTATTGTATTGTATTCCCCCAATGGAAATTTATAATAAAAATAATTATGCTCAAGTATTTAAAACACCTCAAGAACAAGGCTTTTGTGTGCCACTGTCCCAGTTCATCCAAGCACATAATTCACAATAAATATTAAGTTTAAATTTTTTTCCGATGCTGAATCTTATATGCAAAGATATGCTCCTACTGAGTACAGTACAACTGTCATGAGTACATAAAACAGCCATAAATATGGAATGTTAAATGCTATACTTGGGATTAAACTTGGATTATAAATTATCGTACTGACAGTTATATCATTCTGAAGTACAGTACTTTCTACAGTAGCATTCAAAGTTGGAAATTACTACCATTTTTTTATTTGTTACATTATATTTGAATTTTGGCGTGTATCTATATCCATTCATAGAGATATTATATGTTAAGTATCATTATCTCTATGATTCATATTTTATTTACACATTTACTGTACTGACATTCAGGTATCAAACTTTGTACCTTTGTCTTGACATTGACACGTTTACCATTGTTGTGTAGGGTCTGTCTCTTATACACATCTAGATGTGTATAAGAGACAGCTTATTACTGTGCACGTTGCAAAGGAAATCAATATAATTATTTTTGAATTAAATTACAAAGGCGAAAGCTGTGATAAATCATCAGAATTAGATACCGAATTCTGCGAGTCATAACATACATTACATGGACGATTTTGTATGCCACTGTCCCAGTTCATCCAAGCACATAATTCACAATAAATATTAAGTTAAATTTTTTTCCGATGCTGAATCTTATATGCAAAGATATGCACCTACTGAGTACAGTACAACTGTCATGAGTACATAAAACAGCCATAAATATGGAATGTTAAATGCTATACTTGGGATTAAGCTTGGATTATAAATTATCGTACTGACAGTTATATCATTCTGAAGTACAGTACTTTCTACAGTAGCATTCAAAGTTGGAAATTACTACCATTTTTTTATTTGTTACATTATATTTGAATTTTGGCGTGTATCTATATCCATTCATAGAGATATTATATGTTAAGTATCATTATCTCTATGATTCATATTTTATTTACACATTTACTGTACTGACATTCAGGTATCAAACTTTGTACCTTTGTCTGACATTGACACGTTTACCATTGTTGTGTAGGGTTGCCTTGTGTTCAATTCTTATTTTCTGCATTTGCAAAATACGCTCAATCAAGATTATATTATTATTAATAATTATTTCATTAAATTACTTTTTAACAAAAACCAGGCCCCATAAATTATTTTATGAAATCATATATATATGGGACTTTGTACTGTATAGGCCTACAGTACATTTAAATAGTCAGTAATATTTGATGAACATTTTTGATGGAAGTAATTGCCCAAAATTATAATTTTTTTTAATCTCTTTCCCATAAGGCCTACAGTTTATATTACATTAAAGTTTCATTATATTATTATTGTTAAGATGATGATAAAGATTATTTTTGTTAGAGCAGTTATGAATAATTACACACAGGAAAAATGAGTGGCTCTGTAACACAAAATAATTTCTTGAGTACATTTTATTGTACACTGTAGCAACATTTATATTCTTAATGTTATTATTTATAAGACTTTATGGTTAGTAATTTATTTAATTAAATTCTAAATACTCAAAGCTTAATTAATAATTAACAGTTGCTTATAATTTTCTTTTAAATATTACAGCTATTTCTTTCATTCACAATGATCCTCTTTCAATACTATTAATAATTATATGTTATTTACATTTGTAATAAATCCTCCTACTATAAAGTGATATTGATTTTATAAAATCTAGATGTCCCTAAGAAGAATCCTGTTGTTAATCCAGTATGAGTATTATAAAATTGATTTGGATTTTATACGGATACATTTAAATGTGTTTGCATGGGATATGATACTAGCCATTGATTTATGTACTGAGCAGCTCTCATCTTAACACACAGTTGACACATAGTGCAACCAACAATAATGAACATTCAGTAGCACATAAATTATTCGCTAGCTTTTAACGATATTATCATATTTGAAGCACTTGCAATATTCCCTTTGATCTATTGGTTGATGAGCATGAAATTTTTATAGTGAGAAACATCTCAAATGCCTTTATCTTGCTCATTGTTTTGAAGAAAAACAGACATTATCCTGCTTTGTAAAACTTTGGTGTTGATCCCTGTTGTATTTTCGTTCCTGATTAGTGCTAACTTGAGGCCCGAGTGCGTTTGTAATGTAAGCGTGCATCTTCATTGCTCACTGATATAGGAGAAGCGTAGAAGGTCCCTAAGGAAGCTGCCGCTAATCAATGCTGTCCATTGCAATAAACTATTGTATTCTGATAGTACAGTAATTATGTCTTACTATAAAGGTGTTTCCTGCCAGTTATTCACAATTGAATGAAGCCGAGATGCATGAAGGGAATTATTTGATTAAATATAATGTTAATTCATGTCTTAATCCTTGAAAAAATATGAAGATTTAAAGACTTTAAAATTTGTTTTCAGAATTCAACAAAAATTAATTAGAACTACAAAAAAAGCAGTTCCAAATTAAACATATAACCACATAAGACCTCATAACAAACTAAAATATTTTAAAAAATTATTATGATTATTTATTTTTAAACTATAAGAGAAAATATTTGCATAAATTGTTTTTGACATGTTCAGCTAAATCTACCATAAAAATATATGAAACAAATATAAAAAATGCACAACATTAAAAAAAAAAAAAAAAGGTGAAAGGGTCACTGACATGATAAATTGAGCATGTAGAATATTGTGCATTTTCTGTAATGGTCAACATTGATATGAAGGTAGAATTATGCAAAGCAGTAGGTTTCTGATACTTACTGTATATTCTCCTTCAATTCAGTCTTATAAACTTAATGACATATTTGCAAGCGATTTCAAGCTACAGTATCATTGATTACTGTAGGGGGGAAAAATGTTCAAAATAAGATATTTTTTTATGTGTATAATAGCATCAGACTAGTAAAATTAAGAATAATTGGGAGGTTGAAAATGTAGTTAAGGATGACAGGAAAAGGATTACAGGAAGATTGAGGGTGATGGAAAGACTGAGGATAATGAGAAAAAGGGGAATGATGAAAATGGAGTTGATTAGAAAATTATGGATGATGATGAGATCGATATAGAAACTTTTAGGATCATAGGAATATTGATGATCTCAGAAAGATTATGGAAAATGGGATAAATGAGAATGTGGGAAGATTATCAGAGGAATAACTGAGAAATGTAGGGTTGAAGATGATGGGGAATAGGTTGAGGAAGATGAGGAGGTAAAAGATACAATTAAAAAGGAAGTTATTGAAATGGAGAATGTGGATGAGGTGTAGCAATAGAGAATGAAATGGTTTCAGGATAAAGCAGATGTTGAATAATGTGATGGGAAAGATAAGAATAAACAGGTGATAGATTTTCTGATTATAATTTTTTATTGAAAGCTATAGTCAGTATAATTTATTTAATTATATAAAACTTAAGTAATTCAAATATTCTTATTCATATTTATTCTCAACATATCTTTAGTTGTCAGAGAGAATTCTTCCAAAATGTGGAGATTTACAATTTGAAATATATTTTACTGAGATTTTTGTCTTTGAAGGCATATGAATATACTGTATTTTATGATATTTTATCATCTATGCTGGCAGATGCATTGTATTTAAAAAAAAAAAAAAAGATTCAAACTCATTATTTATCATGAGTTTTTCCGTACTACTGTATGTATTATGAGGTGTGTGATCGAGTATTTCAACATTAGCCAATACTCGTAATGTTATTACTCATTTGTTGTGAATTTCATAAAATGAGATTGGTTTAGATGAAAAATATTGTCAAGGTCAAGTTTACAGTAATATAGTTATTCACAATACCTGATTGATTCTTACTTAAATTTCAAGCTTACTCATCAATGAGTGCTTTTCATTAGACCCAAGTTTTTTTTTCTTTATTCTTTAAATTTTAATACTTGCAGACCTACAGATTCTAATACAATATCATATTTAGTGAGGATAAAACTTCTACCAACAGAACCATACTTAAATTACAAATTTGCCTTATCTACTGTACTAATCTTGTTTTACTTTGAATTTATTTATTCTGCCTTTAATGTATAACACTTTCAGTAATGCATCACCTAACTAGTGGATCACATGAACAAGAAAAGAAATGAAAGTCAAAAAAATATAACAAGTTTATGGAAGTATAAAATACTGCTAATAAAAGTCTTAATCTTTAAAAAAAAATGAATAATTTATCAGATAATATGTATTAACTCTGTTTTTTATTCTAATTTTAAAAACAATATGAAAATAAAATACTGAAGACAAATCACTAAATTATTAAAATTAAATTTGTTATTTGAAGTAATACTAATTATTACCGGTGTATGATATGAACTTTACAGAAAAGAATATGGTATAGCCGTAGAGAGAGAATACTGATGTTTCTGTTCTGCCTATTCTCGGTAGACTATCATCAGTCTGTCGGTTGAACCCTGACAAACGTTCTCCAAGCAGCATAGTCTTGGCATACTGTAGGGTATGCTTTACTTATGTCTATTCTTGATCTTGTGATCTTTCTAATTCTGTCCTGCCATCGATTTCTCGACCTTTCCAACTGGTCTTTTTCCTGGTCGTTTCTAGTTATGTATCCTTCTTGGGTCTCTTGTTGGCAACATTCTTCTTACATTGATTTCGTTCGATGATTGTTATAATCAACTCTAGGCCCAGGATGTTTCTTATTTTTGTGTTCCTGGTTTATGTCCATTCTTGTCACTGTGACAGTAAGTCTAAGAATCTTCATTTCTGCTGCTTGTAATTTACTCTATAATCTCTGTATGTCCAAACCCACGTTTCACTGTCGTATCATAATTACATAAGCTGCCCATTTAGGATCTCTATTGCTGACCTGGTAAAAACTGATCAAAATCCTACAGGGATTTATATCATATACTACAGTACTTTTTGTTATTAAAAATAATTTATTGGTTATAGATTCAACTTTCTGGGTTTTTTTTAAACATTTTTTAAACCTGGGATTGAGCATCTTAACCCCAAAATATAATACAGCTCCACACCTCTTTTCAATATAAGATTGTACCACCTTATTTTAAGATACTGTACATCATGTTTAATGGATAGTATATTGATAAAAATTTTGTCTTTGAATTTGGATAAGATTCAAACTCAAACCAGTAACCTCAACTATGATGTTAAAGTGTTCCTCTTAATTATTTTAATTCAGTGGCACAGATCTGTTTATACAAGAATGTTGATAGCATGGTTACTGTTAGAATGCATTAAGATGTCACAATGTATTAAAAGAAGTCATTATCATACCATGAAGGATTTTTTCCCAGCAATCCTAGAGTTCAATGTATTCCTTCCTGTGAGAAGTATGTAACTGTTTATTTGTTGATTGATCATGTAGAAACAGTCCGCATGACCAGCTACAGACCAGGCTGTTGTTCTCAGCCAATCAATAACCTACTTTTAATACAACTCAGTTGACTGCTCCATCATGTGGAAAATGCCATGCACATTGGTTTCAGTGTTTAGTGTGTCACGCGAACACTTTTTCCCAATCTGCATGGCCTAGTGTGATCCAGGAGTGCATCCATTGATTGTCCTTTTGCTTTTGTTCAGATCTGTTTTCTTTGCCCAGGGTATCTATATTAGACTCAGTATCTGTGGTTACAGGTGATTGTATTATATACATTCAAGCTTACTTTAATGAGCTAAAATAATAAGGTGTTATAATATCCCTGGTTTGACAACTTATTAAACATGATACCAAGTTATTATGTTTATTTTCCATGTTATTATGTTTGTATTGCAAGAATAATACTTAAAAAATAATGGTATGATAATAATGCTACATTTATATTACCTGACTAAATTTATCAACATAATCAATCAAATCAAAATGTACTTACAAATATTTTTTTTAATATACTCTAACAGTATTAATTTTTCTTTTTATCAAAATTTATATATTATTCTTATTCTGAATTGTGATTGTTATAAAGATCCGATTTTTTAACAGGAAGTTTTTTTGTTGGTTTATTGGTTTAATGCTTTGTTAGAGAGATCATTTGTAATGACGTCATTGCTACAAATTTTTATCCAGTAAGCATGAGAGATAAAATTAACCAGTTACATATTTACAATTATTGATTTTACCTCCCTCTTCTACCAGATGTTTTGGAAGGCTACAATGGAACAATCTTCGCATATGGTCAGACTTCAAGTGGAAAAACACACACAATGGAGGTAAACTGCTATGAAAAAATATGTATCGTAGCTTTAAAGCAGCTTTGTAACAGATGATAATAGGTAGTTTTCGTCGCACGACATTAGCCTTAACGTTAACGTATGACATCATAATATATTCATCTTACATTGCGGAATATGTAAATTTAAGGATTTTACGTGTTTGGCGTAGGTTAGTTACGGGTTTGCGCATGCGTATTTCAATTTGTTTACAAAAAGGGGCATAGCTATCGCGTTGCATGTTGGGTACTGACGTTAAAATTAAGGTTAACGTCGTTTGGTAAAAACTACCTATTATGCTGACCTTTCTAACCTTAGAAATTTCTTTTATCATCACCATCATCAATATCATTATCATCATGATTAATTTGCCTCATAGGAATAAATTGATATATTATATTCTATATTTCTGTCGTAAAATATAATACGATCATTATTAACATCATTATCGTCCTGCTCAGCATTACCTGATTGGAAAGCCACCTTAAAAAGTGTTCAGTAATATTATGACCCTCTCAGGAGATAATATTCCACGTTACATGACCTTCACTTATTTCATCGAATCAAAGACATCTTCAGCTTCCTGTTAAGTATAGCTAAAATGGCAATCGAAATAAAATCAAATTAATATGTTAATCTGAAAGTGAAATGATTACAATAAACCAGTAAATCCAGAATTTATTTTTATCATGATTACGTCATAGTGATGCATATGCGCAAATATAACTACGCGTTCCAACTAGGTTGCAGCCAATCACAAGATGGAAAATTCAACGTTTCCAATTGGCATGGCAGAATGATTGTTGTCTCATCAAGATGATTATGTGAAACACATGGGACCTTCGCTCAGTAAATTTAATTCATAATTATGATGAGTTTGCTGATACCGGATATTATTTAATATTAATACAAAATGTCAAATTACCTTGTTTTTCCATCTTATGTAAACATTAATTATCTAAAATATATTGACCTAGATGGTGACAGCATTAAGCCCATCATGTACAGTATTTGTATAAAATATTATCTATGCTATGTATAGAGAAGAGATCAAAGTGAATACATCAAATTTTCTTACCTGTATCCATTACTATTTTTCATCTGCATAAAGGCTTTAATAATATATAGCGACTTGTGAATGATGTTATGTTGACTATTTTGTTAATATAATACAAATTGTAAAAGTAACTGCTTCAGAAATATCTACCAGTATGTTACGTCAAGACCAGATGAAATTTTTTAATTATATTCATTCTGATGATATTATTACACTTCTTTCATGAATATTCTATTAAAATATTATTGGCCATCCAACAAAAATATACTTAAGACTGCTTTAGCTTAGAAACAGCTAATTTATGAATAATGTCATTAAAATACAATTGAACCTGGTTATTTTGGCAATGGCAATTTCATGCTCACACAATTCTTTATCGTTTTATGTTGGAAGTATGATTAAGCATTGTCTGAGATACAGACACATATCTGATATGATTTTTACCTTAAAATTATGTTTAATATTTAATAAAGTTATAACATCACTTTTTCCCCTAGGGTGTTACAAGTGAACCAAACCTGATTGGTATAATTCCAAGGATAGTGCAAGATATTTTCAACCATATTTATGCATTGGATGAAAACTTGGAATTCCATATAAAGGTAAAAAAAGACACTTTGTAAGAATTGAAAGGGAGCTAGTCAATTATTATCCATATGCTTCTACAAAATGTGATTGTATGCGACACACAAAAATTTAAGATAGTCACATCCTGCAATTGGAGCTATAAGTCTAATTTTCTCCATATTATTGCATAGTGTTAAATAATAATGAACAGGAGATATTGTTAAAGTCACATTTTTACCAAGTTTATTACCACGTATGCAAGTACTCTAGCTACAGTGGGAGCTACGAAGTCACTTTTTACCTACATTCATATAATCAATACCTAATTGACAGTGCACAGAATCATGCATGAATACAAAAACACAGGGGTATAGGTTAGCATGAACATACTTACTAACCACTTGAGACTCTGATTGTCAAAACCCAAGTCGCTGAATGAAGCTGGAGAGGTGAGGGGAGTGGGGGCAGTCACTGGGTTGTGTGAATTATTGCCATAACCTTTAAAAAGAGAATCATAATCTCAAATATTCAGCTCTATTGTGTTTCACTTAGATAAATCAAAATTAAACCGTCATCATTGATGCCGTCACAGGTTTTGGGTTTAAATTTATTAATTTGTTTATTCTGTTTCTTTCACGATTTTAGATTGATTGACAATGATTTACAGTTGTTGAATGTTTGCTTTCCTTTTCCAGGTTTCCTATTTTGAAATTTATCTAGACAGAATTAAAGATTTATTAGATGGTAAGTAGATGCTGATTGTGAATGTAAATGTCTTCATTTAAAACCTATCAATGTATTGACATGGGTGTATACAGCAACGTTTTAATGAGATGATATGGGCGGGTTAGATAAAGGTTGTATAATATATTGTGTCTCGTAGTTAGCTTGTTTACATAAGTATGTTGATCTTTATTCAATTTTGCTCATAATGAAAAATGGAGAAGTATTCAAGTTAAAAGAAGCACAGTGTATTTAGTGATTTGTTTGTATTTTACAAGAACCTGTGATTCCATCTTTTTCCTTCATTGTGCTTAAAAATTTTTACTTGCAGTGTTGATACTTACCTGTTTACTGGGAGCCTTATTACTGTATATAAAAAGACAAATGTAATCAAATTAATTTTTTATGGAACTAATTTTAATGTATTCAAATTAATAACATATCATCAGTAAGTACTTAATAAGCCATTTCGTAATTCTACTGTATGTTTTATTTATTATTTAACATAAAGGTTTGTATTTTGATTATTCAATAATTATGATGAAAAGCCCAGCGTATGTCCGCTGCATGATTGATTATAAGTCGTGCAAACTTTAACCTTTTGAGTTCATTCTGTTTACTCAGATGAGTCATCTATCTTCGAGGGGAATAAAGAGGATTTTTGCTGCTGATCTAAACACTTGCTTGTAAAAAATGGAGTCTTCATCTCCTGTGTGAAAGGTTCACCTATGACCTTTTACCATAATCAAATATAAATTTACAATAAAGCCATGCATTTATAAGGTGCTCTCAAGAACACTGTACCTAAAAGTAAAATATACATATTTACTTACCATAATAATAATAATAATAATAATAATTATTATTATTATTCAGTCTTTTAGTTTAATACATTGTTTGTATGTACTTCACATTATTACCTGGATCATTGGATCAAAACCTATAGAAGACATAGCCTGCTCCTGAGGGGAGTATTTCATAATTTTACAGCCAATAATGAACATAAGTTGAACCTTGCTTAAGGATTTAACAGATGAAATGTTGAACCCTTGAAAAGTATGCAGTGGCAACCTTCAATCAAACAGGTTGGCCGTCACATCTCTTCCATTCAACTCCACCGGGTATGTTATTCCACAGCCCTGACCAAGCCTTTTGACTGCTCCTTGCGTGAACTCCACTGTCGGGTCCCTGTTGGCAAATTACTAGAGCCACCACTCATGCAATTTTTTCTGACGTGATTTAATTGGAATAGGCACATGGTTCATGGATTTCCAATAGCAAATACATCACTATCTGGTAAAGGTAGAAATCCCTTTCATTAATAACAAAAGATATATCAGTCATGATACATAAACGAACATACAGTAGTACGAAGTAAGGTATTCAGTACACCAGGTGAAAATCCTTACTTTTTTCCAAGTAGCATGTCAATTTTTTTTTTTCTTGTGCAGATACCAATGCTGTATGTCCCATCAAAGTATGATGTACAGTAATTACAGTAATGTGTCTAACCCAAGGACATATCTGAACATCAGCGTTAGTAGGCGCTCTCATCAAAAGAAACATGCCCCAGGCCTTGATACATTGCTAATGATGTACATGAAAATATCTCTGTATATCTAAATATTGAATATAAATTGTCATTGGAGATAAACTATATTTTTGTTTAGGCCTACATGAATAATGAAGAGTGCATGGGATGCAAAAAATCTAAATCATTGTTAGTGAGACTTTATTGCAATGTTATTGCTTTTAAAGTGACCTGCTTATTTTTTATAAGAGACATTCTGATTGGATGTTCACTAACATGCTCTTGTTTCTAATAAAAGTCTATGGTGTAAATTACATTGAGCTGATCTCAAGTTTTAATTACTGTTGTTAAGTCAGAGGGATCATTTAACACTTTAAGAAGTGAAAAACCTTGAGAACCCCTCTATTAATTGTGTTGTCCTTATTAGACTTAACCTATTATTGTTTTATGTTTATCTATTCAAATGTAGTAGGTGTCTTTCCAATGCTATTTTGATCAGATAAACTCACATATTGTTCATCTGACAAACAAATAAGAACAACTGTTTGTGATTACATGTTATAAAAGGTATATTTATCATCACAATAAAATAGTTTACACTTGATAGTACAATGTAATTTTTGATGATGTTAAAATTCACCAAATCATAAAGTTGTGATGTAACAGTAGATAGTTTGGAGTCTTTGTGTATAAATACAAAACATTATAGTATTTACAGACCAACCATTTATTTTTACATATAATAATATGTAATCAAAATGATATAAGCTAAGCATATGTTACTATGTATTTGATTTTATCTCTTTTATCTTTTCTGTTTTGTTTTAAATGGTCTGTCAGATAGCTTATGAATAATTCATGCTGTGAGACGTGATGCATGCAGTGATGATCTACCAGACTGCATAATGTTACATTCTCAACTTGATATGTATCTATCATCTTGCTATGTATCTACAGTATCATGTTGCTCATAATGATATACTTTTTTCTAATATATAACATTTATTTATACTTTGTAGTTTCAAAGACCAACCTATCGGTTCATGAGGACAAGAATCGTGTACCCTACGTGAAGGGGGTCACCGAACGCTTTGTATCTAGCCCAGATGAGGTCATGGAGGTCATCGATGAAGGAAAATCCAACAGACACATAGCAGTAACAAGTAAGGCCCTGTCCAGACTATCAGATTTGATTTGACAAAACCATGTGACATGCCTAAATACAGTCATGATGTCATCACATCATGACCATATATAGGCACATCATAACTATATATGGTCATACAACAGGTTTTATGTCAAAGAAAATATGATAATGTGGACAGATTTTAAGGCTGATATCTATTTTGAAGTAATAGTCAGGAAACAACTGTTTTTCTTTAAAGACATGTTCTCCCTCCTTTTCAAATTTGATATATTAAAACTTTCTTTTCATTTCAGATATGAATGAACATAGCTCCCGTAGTCACAGCATTTTTCTCATTAATGTAAAACAAGAGAATCTGGAAACCCAGCAGAAACTTAGCGGAAAACTCTACCTTGTAGATTTGGCTGGTAGTGAAAAAGTAAGCAATTAATGGTTGATCATAGACAATGAACATGAAAATATAATACATTGCTTATATGATGACAATTTGTATTAGAATTTAACCCTTTGAGATTAACTACATAATTTAACCCCAAAACCAATTAAAAATTTAAAAAAAAAGGTTTTAACTATTGTAAATGTTACGTATAATGCAATTTATTATTTCTATTGTTCTGTTCAATAACACCATACAGAGCTTTCCAAAAAAAACCTCTGGTGAAATAATTATTGGATGTCACACGGGTAAATAATTACAAACTCAATATACCATTCACAGATTTGTTTGCTTTGAAACCCTTATCACATTGTCCATGTAATAACGAACCATACTTAATATGTAAGCATAAATTGAACATATAGAATATTAACATATATATATATATTCAGAGTTCAAAACAATGTAATATTGATTGACTTATCCATTGTCCAATATACACATCAGCTTGAATTGGTAAACTGTTACAAACTGTATTTCGCAATAATAAGTGTGAGTACTGCATGAAACTTTTAACACACAATTCCCAAAACAGGCTTCGAATGAGTAGCCAATCAGTTCATGCAACGCAATGTGTCAACAGGTTATCCACCACTATAACAAAGTTATATCACAGGCACGAGGCCACCTACAGTAAAATACCAGACATTTTACAATAATAATATTCATCTCACTAATAAGTGCTAATTAGAAATATTACCCACAAACAGTTCTTAAAACCTACTTACAATTGTTGTATTGTTTACAGCTTATAGGTTAACATAATCCATGTCTATCCTGACATCTACACGTACGGTATATACTAAGGCCTATTTTTTCCTGGCTTATCAAACTACAGTCACAGACCGTTTTGACCTAACACCAAGCCATTACCGCACTCAATCACTACCCGAATCACAAAGAGCCAAGGTCTTTTAACTGCAAGTAGTTTACATATCAATGGTGCGTGGCACCTGTACATGTAACAATGGCATAAAATACCATAGCACATAACTTAACGTGACAACCCCCCAATAAATTCTGTAGTTAACAGTTCAGAAAACTTTATTTCAGAAAATGGCCTAATTAAGTATCTTATTGTTTTTGTAATAGATGGAGTTTAAATGTGGTTATATTACGCTAGTTTTAAGGTTTACTGTAAGCCAATCAGTTACACTTACTATACATCTTCGTGGTTAGCATGAAGAGAACTCTATTAAGAGCTGTCTCTTATACACATCTAGATGTGTATAAGAGACAGATTTGGGCCTTCCGAAGTTGGCAAGATAGTGTCTAGCAGGGGCAGATTTAGCCCACAACGCCTCAAATGTTATTTTCGGGACGACTAGAACACAAAAATTTTGCGGGGGCATCCCCTGGGACCCCCTAGGACATTGTTGTATCGATCGGCCCAAATTTCCAAATTTTTGGACATCTCTGGATCCGCCCCTGGCTAGTGAAAGGAATTGAGGACCAGTAAAAATATTAATTCACTGGTCCACTTGTATAGTTAAAAAAAACCTTAAGGGAAACCCCTGCCGAATCACAAAGAGCCAAGGTCTTTTAACTGCAAGTAGTTTACATATCAATGGTGCGTGGCACCTGTACATGTAACAATGGCATAAAATACCATAGCACATAACTTAACGTGACATTGGATATTTATAGTATTTTGAAATAATTCAAGAAAACATGATGAATATATAATTGTTTTTTGTTTTAAAAAGGTAAGCAAGACAGGTGCAGAAGGAGCTGTTTTAGAGGAAGCCAAAAATATTAACAAATCATTGTCTGCTCTTGGAAACGTCATATCGTCTCTAGCAGATGGAAAAGTAAGTTAATTATTTGTTTTACACCATAGGAATCGTATCGCCATTGTGAAGAAAGGCTAAAAAAACAAAATTATTGATTACCAATAGGCCATATTCCATGTACAAAAGATCCAAGTAGTGGAGTATAGTCTTATGTTGTTCTTTGTCAGATGTTTTGTTAGAGAATTGATTATGTTTAGAAAATTGATTACCTTCTTAAATTGCTGTTCAAGATGTGCTAAGAATTGTGTTAAAAAATTTATTATACTCTTGAAATACTGTTTTAAATTTCTTCATGCTTCGAAAAGGATGGATTTTATTTATTATCATTGATATTGATTAATACAAAATTCTTGTGGAGTTATAATCATACGATAATGAGGCCGATGGGAAGTTGGGGTCAACTAGCTAGAAGAATGAGGTGCTATGAGACAATTTTTCACTGCTTAAGTGTAATTTTGTTTGCTTAGCATCTCTTCGGTGGTGACCACAACACTGTTAAATCGAATATCCCTTTTACACTGCCAAGGTGAGAATAAGCCCTTGTTAATTTCGCAATTATACCGGATGCATTTCCATTTACATCGAACGAAAAAGTTGGGGTTGATCCCAAGTTACTCCCATTTTACACCGGCAACAAAACATGGTTTCAAAAAATGCCCTCAATTTTTTGTTGCAACAGTTATGAAGTCACAATTATGTAATTATTAAAGCAATGTATTTGCAGATTTTGTTTAAATTATGCGAATTAAATCAGCAATTTTGTTATCAGGCCTATACGGGAGTGCAGGACTTTTAATCTGAAAAGTGTCCTGGACAAGCCCGTTGTTAGCAAAGTAAAGGCCAATGTGACCACAGCTGTGGTAGACGTCATGTAAGGCCTGACTCCGGAATCGAATTGGGTTTTGTTTACACTGGCAACTCTGGGATGTACCCGGGTTGTCCAACGCTGAATGCAACCCGCACATTGGATCTGGGATGTTTGGCAACCGGGGTGGTATTTTTTGCCGTTTACACTAACCACAACTCGGGAGTTTGTAACCCGGGTATTGTCAAATGCCAGGTTGTGTCCGGAGTTTTGCTTGCAGTGTAAAAAGGGTATAGGAATGCTCCTCAGGGAGCAAGAAGTTTGCATGATGTACAAGATGCTTACATATTTAGAGCTGGGCACTCGCTGCAACGTACGACATCCGTATGGCAAATTGAACTCTGCTGCCTATGAGCGTTAGACCGTTTGGGCGTAGTGAGTGTTTCCGGCTTTTGGCTTTCTTATACATCGTTTTGCAAACTTGCTGCCTGCCAGTAAGATGGGGCTATTGTCAACTTGAGCTTCACGTTCAGATTCCCGTCTGTGCATTTCATGAATGTCCCTGTGAAAGGAAATTTATATACTTGAGTTTTTTAACACCAGTAAGCTGTACAAATAGCTAGAATGATTTTGCATTGGGTCTATTAGATGGGTGATTTACTGTGGCACATCAAGGTATACTTTGCAGCAGGAAGCAGGCATGTTTGCCAAATAATGTCTTTACCTGTGATCTATTAATAAACACACCATAAACATTTTGGATATCAATTTTATTGTTAGTGAATATTGGCATTATATGGGGCTTGCCATGACAAAACCAACGTCAGTGACCAAAACAAGAAAATTGACTTTTTGATATATCCATATTCTCAACATTATAAATTTTAAAATGTTAGGTCATTTACTGAATTGACTTACTATTGCCAAAGTTATGAGTAAAAGTATTATTATAGTATATTGTTATATATTACTCAATTTAACATTTAGCGACAATATGCTGGTTTTGGGGTGGCAAATCTTACATATGATTGCCATTTCTCATTCGAGTGATTTCTAATAACTTTGCTGAATGTTTCTTGCAGAAATCTCATATACCTTATCGTGACAGTAAGATGACAAGAATCCTTCAGGAATCCTTGGGAGGAAACGCCAGGACCACCATCATCATTTGTTGCTCACCATCTTCCTACAATGAAACTGAAACTAAATCCACGCTAATGTTTGGACAAAGGTAAGTCAATCTGAAACTAAGTTACTTGCTGACTATATTTAAATTCTTCGTTTTCTTTAAATGTCCTATAATTTACTAATGTAGCAGTAATAAGATTTTCTTGTGACATGTGACTCTCAGATCATCAGATATCTTTTGCTATCCGTTTCATGCACTGCCCCAGAAGCATTGTTAATTTTTTTTTGCAGCACCAAAACTAACAGATAAAAATCAATGTTACATTTACATATATATTCTCCTTATTTCTTACTCTTCCAATTTTGTCTAATCATCTCTATGTCTTAAAACAGAGCAAAGACCATTAAGAATACAGTGACTGTTAACTTGGAGTTGACCGCCGAAGAGTGGCGTGCACGTTATGAAAAAGAAAAAGAGAAGAACGCCTCATTGAAAGCCCGTTTACACAAGCAGGAAATAGAGCTGAAACGATGGAGAGCAGGTTTGAGATCGTATTTATTTAGAACACATTAACCACCATAGTTCATGATGGATAAGTATTAAGATTTCAACTTGATGAAAGTGATCCTATTTCATGTTTTATAATTGCTAATGTAAAGTTTACTTCCTTAGCTTGATAATGATCACACACTCGTCAAATCCTAATGCGCAGTAAATTTGTTTTACTCTACTTAAAAACAAATGTGGCAAAGACAAGCCAAAGCAGTCACTTGTCACAATTTGTGTTTCAGAGATAATGACCAAAACATGCTGGAATGTCAACATTTTTGAAATCTATTTATTGCACTAAACTAACCTTCATACATTTATACATCATGCTATGCTGTTATTGTCCCCATTTTCTTGTACAGGGACATGTTCCCTTTTTGCCTACCAGACTCGTTATTATGTTTTGAGTGAAATAAAATTATGAATTATGAATTATTATATTTTCAATGCTAAAACAAAAACTTTTAACAATTTGGTGATGGTTTCTGCCTGAGAAATGCCAGAAATCATAAACTTTGAAGGCTGATTTCTCAAATACTGTTCTTTAAACAGCTCTTTTTAAATGCTTGTAACTTCGTGTGGAAATGTCAGTTTTAAATGATTCTTTTACCATTTTAAAGCTCTCATTTTACTGTTTAACCCTGTATTAATAACTAAAAATTTTGCGACCAGTGACTGGTTTGGCTTGTCTTTGCCACAAATGAAGTAAGTTAATTAAAACCTCTCTCATGAAGCAGTATTTTATTTTTTATACTCGTGCATTTTTTAGGAGATAGTGTGCCAGAGGAAGAAAGAATTGACAACTCTCCAGATGAAGTAGTATCTCTACCAGTTACTCAAGTAGAAACAATCTCCAATGAAGACAGGGAGAAGTGGGAGCAGGAGCGCACCGATCTTTATAAGTTGCTAGATAGTAAAGTTAGTCAACAGAAACTTTATTTTCCTACTACATTGCTTCAAAACGATTGTCCCAAATGGGAAAGAATTGAACATAGTTTACTGGTTTCCAATTATTGGTTTGACTTGTTTTCCAGCTGAAGTCCATCCTTTTGCAATATTGGTGAACACTTATGTGGTCACAGAACTGTAATGTTAATAATACTTGTAACAATTATAATAATGTTTGTTGTCTGTAGCACCATCTAAACTAATATGCATGTTACTTATATTCTTAATACATAAAGAATAAAACACAAAAGTACTAAAATGGCATCTTCTTTTTATTTTGGTGTCTCTAATCAAGTTTTTCCAAAGAATTCCATTCTCTATCAATTTTCCATCCTTGACCCATGACCTCTGCATTTTCAGGATAGTGAAATAGATGCATCTAGCCAGATGGTTGAAAGACTACGTCAACAGATGCTGGAGCAGGACGACATGGTACAGGGATGTCGCCAAGACAATGATGGTCTACAGGTAGAGATGCAGCGGATCCAGTCTGAAAACGAGGCAGCAAAAGAGGAGGTGAAAGAGGTCCTGCAAGCATTGGAGGAACTAGCCGTCAACTACGATGAGAAATCTAAGGAAGTTGAAGACAAACGTAAAACAAATGAACAGTTGAATGATGAATTGAATGAAAAATTGGTATGTTAAGTTTAAATCAGTTTTGTAATCACCAAAAAAATACTTGTACTTTATTATATTATTAGAATTAGAAGAATTTATATTTTATATATTTTACATATTCATGTTTTATATCTAATTAATACGCATTCCTATTGTGATAAATTTGAGAATCTCAAAATTCTTATCATGGTGTTGATTAAACTATTGAGTAAACCTGATTTTTTTTAAATAGAATGAATGAGGTATGTTTCACATAAAATAACACACCTGATGAAGTTGGCATTGACTGCCAGGGAAAGCCCGTGTCCAATAAAATTACATTTTTGAAGTTAGTCTAAGAGTGCTGCCTCTTCATTTCTTGTTTAATTATTGTTAAAACTAACACAGCTACCACTACTGTACTTCTATGATAAATTAACCTGTAATCATTGTTTTTTATGAAAAAATGTGTGCCATCTCAGTTAGCTTTTAAAGCTAAGAACCCAATTACTGACAGAATGTACTTATATTGAACAGACGGAGTTGAGTAGTACTTCTGTTAAGTACCAGAAGTTACAAGACATGGAACAGCATCAACGGAAGAGGGTGGCAGAGATGATGTCCAGCCTTCTGAAGGATCTTGGAGAGATTGGTGTCGCAGTTGGAGGCACTTCCCTTGATGCCAAGGTATTGTTCTCCAAAGATTCACTTTAGATTTTACTATTTTTCATTGTGAGGCTCTTTAGTTAACCTGTCAATATCAACATCACTGGATTTTAACATCATTGTCATTCTTAGCTGCAACATAATTACCGTTAAATATTATCAAATTAACATGTAATGCAGCATCAACTAACCCATTTATGTTATAGCAACTGTAACTTAGTTTTAGTAATTGTAATCTAGGTTTAGTTACTGTAAAATATAGCTGGGTCGATAACTATGGTTACAACAACAATTTTCTATTTATTAAACACCATTTATACTTCATATCTTTACTTAGTTCATCTCATCCTTTAACAAAATTCCATCATTTACATAATAATAGTAATATACAGTAACATTGTCAATGATATTGTGGCTCATTTAATTCTGTAATTAAATATGTTTGTGAAATACGATGTCAGTTCTGAAATATGCTTAATTAATTTAATACGATAGATAACCGAAAATGCAGAAAAAGTTGATGAGGAGTTCACAATGGCACGTCTGTACGTCAGCAGGATGAAATCGGAAGTGAAATCTCTGGCAAGTCGTTGCAAAGCACTAGAAACCTCTACAGCATCATTTTCCAAAAGAGTGGAAGAATCCGAGTCAGAGCTAGCTGAGTGCAAGCTTACCATTATGCAGGTAAAATCCGGTCACGTTAATCAACCACTAATTTGGAGCAATGATTAAAGATGTACATTGGCCTGAGAGAAAAAATTGCGCATCCGACCATGAAATTATTTTTGTAAAATGCCTACAGCACCAAACCTTAGTGCGTTAAATTTCTTATAATGAATAGAATGCAATGTTAATACATACATTCATATAGTATAAATACATGTTAATCATTATTTGTGTATTTACTGTAGCATGAGGCAAAAATGAAGTCCTTGACCACTAACATGAGGGAGTTAGAACAGAAAAAGAGACAGCTTGAAGAAGAGACAGACCTTCTGAGAGACAAGTACGCTGAACTCCAGGCATCTCGTAAGTTATCATTCTGACTAATCTTCTTCAATTTACATCATCATTTCATTGGTAATTATGTAAGTTGTGCAGGCTTTTCATTAGGGAGCCTTCGATTGCACGATGACGGTAGGACGTAGAACGTAATGACGTCACTAAAAGTAATCTGCGCAACATTAAGGTTACCTCGTCAAGTAGATTCTGGAACGCAATTTTGCCAAATCTACGTATGCAGAGAATGTAGGACGCCAGGTAGGACGGTCACGCATGAGTGATTTCGTTCTAGCGTTGCGTCGTTGCAGAAATCGAAGCTCCCTATTAATGATTATTGAACTTTGACCTGTTACAGAGGATATGCGTGATGAGCTGTTGGACTCTAAGGAGAAGGAACATTCCGAGAAGATCCAGAATGCTAATGAGATGAAAGCAGCAATGGAAGAACAACTAGAGAGTCATCGAGTAGCTCATCAGCAACAATTATCCGCTCTTAGGGCCGAAATTGCCGATAAAGAAAGACAGATCGAGGATCTTGAAGAGTAAGTTATATTATCCAATAATAATAATAATAACAATTTGATATTCCTGTGTTCAGGTTTTTCAATAATCATAATAATTTGTAATCCTAGTCAGTCAAAAATATTATATATCATTTATATATATAATTGAGATTTTATAGTAGTTTCTATATCATAAAAACCATAATTTACTCATACTTGGAAACAAAGATGCATTAGTATGATATACAGTATATAAATTAATTTCTTAAAGCTTGTGGTAGCTTTGTTAGAACAGATGTCTATTTTACCATAAATCGGTTTCAATCATATTCCTAGTCAGGTTCTGTCATTGCTATTGAATTTTTTTAAATGAATCATACAAAATGGTATCTAATATTCTGTTATTAAACAAGCTACTTTGCAACTCTTTTACTTACCTTGTAAACTTTTCATCTATTTACAGTGCTAATCAGCGTTTATCATTAGCTCATGAGAAGTTAAAACTTGATTATGAAAAACTGAAAGCTGAGGAGGCGGAGAAGGCTAAGAGGCTATCTGAGCTCAGGTACTTTAATGAAAAAAATTTTTTTGAAACAATAATTATCAACATGAAGTTCCTAGGTATTAATATTCAACGTTGCTGCATTCTAGATTGAAACTAACATCCATCTGATATGTTTTATTCTGCATAAATATGTAGGAATTATATATGTGTCATGCATAATTTGTCAGATTTCTTTAAATTGACAAAAATTAATTGATATATATGCTAAATGTCATTTTCAACAATGGAGACAAAATTGTTATTTCCATAATATGTTAATGATTTATAATTAAGTTAGTGATATAGATGTGTAGTTATTTCAGTTGTTTTTAATGAGATTCTCTTGTGCAGTTTCGACTCTGCACCAAAATGTTCTTGAGCAGTTTGAAGAATTTGCAAGTCCATCAAACTGCATGATAATACGTTACACATTGCTTGTATTGCGGGTTGGGTTTTGTTTATACAAAGTAATCTATTTTGCTTCTTATAAACATTGCAGCCAACAGTTTGATCGTCGTGAGCAGGCGAAGCAGGATTTGAAAGGACTTGAAGAAACGGTCGCCCGTGAACTACAGACCCTGCACAATCTGCGAAAGCTCTTCGTTCAAGACTTGCAGTCACGCGTCAAGAAGGCTGTAGAGGGTGGAGATCGTGATGAGGACTCCGGCGGCAGCCATGCACAAAAGCAGAAGATCAACTTTTTGGAGAATAACCTGGAGCAACTGACCAAAGTCCACAAGCAGGTTTGTAAAATATGTTCAATCATTATTACTATTATGTCTACATTTATTTTAGCACTGTTGAAGATTGCTGCTACCATTAGGTTCTCAGGTGGAAGATTTGCATACATTACAGCACTAAAAGTCGCTTATACAGTACCTTTCTTCTCCCCTAACCTACCCAGTAAACTGTTACCAGCTGCTCTCATCTGTCTGCAATAGAGGGTGTATAGACTAGTACACTGGGGTAACTTCCCACCTGTCTCGAAAGATGTACTGGTTTTTTATAGTTCACATTAGCCAGTTGAACACTAGGCCTACGGTTTATAGTCCTTATCCGAGAAGACGTGCTCCACCTCAAGAACCATAGCATACGAACCGGCACCGATATTATGGCTGTAGGTTTCGGTGTCCCTGCCATAACCTCTCAAACATTCGACTCACTTTGACATTTCACAACAGAAAATTTTCAGAATTTGTAATTTATGTAACATTCCTTTAATCAAACACCTTAAATGGACATTAAAGGTTGTGTTTTTTTCTTTGTATTTGTCTTATTTTTACCTAAGCTATCATTCCATTCTGCTCTTCTTAATAGTATTTGCTATGTATTCATTTTGGAATATTACTACACCAGCTATGGTCTATAAGTACTGTAATGAGTGTTCCACTTCACATCTAATAATACCACTTGTGCACTCACATAATATGTGAAATAATATGTGAAATAATTTTTTTTTTTTTTTGCTTCCTATAAATTAAAGCTTGTTCGTGATAATGCTGATCTCCGCTGCGAGCTTCCTAAATTGGAAAAACGTCTAAGAGCAACCGCTGAACGTGTCAAGGCTTTGGAGACTGCCCTCAAGGATGCCAAAGAAGGCGCAATGAAAGACCGCAAGAGGTGAGCATTGTGACATATATCATTTCACCAAATGCGGCCATGCATGACACATGCCCTCTTGGAAATGTATGGATGGATGGGGTTTTTTGTGTATGACTAGTGAATAGGCCTATTCTATGTACTTATACATGTAGCTGATGAAGCGATGATGGTGAAGGGATAGATACACGCAATAATGTTAAGTAGTGTAGTTGATTATACTCACTGCATGTCTGCAGTTTGTTAACTGTTAACTTATTGTGCTCTGCCTCCCACATTCCGCATCAATCTTTACAATGTTGTTCATAGTGTATATTACACCACCATATATTTGCTGAATTTTCTTACTAACTATAGCTTATTTGAGCATGTTTTTATTTTATTATTATTAAATTCAAAATCTGTTCTGGAATGAAAATGCAAAATTAAAATGAAAAATCGAGCAGCATAATTATTTTTAATAGTAATTATTAATATATAAATCAAACATATTATTATTTGTTATTTAGAAAAAAAATTATTTAGCACTTTACTATTGCCAATGAACAGCAAATGCTAAGATTACACTAAAGTTGTTTTGATTATTATTTGGCATGTTTTTCTGCCTAGGCGTGACAGCAAATTCTTCGGAAGTGAGAACCTTACTGGGTAATGTAGCATAGGTTCTTACGCACTTTTGTTCCGTTGTTTACTAACCATTCTAGCTTTGTTTCTACTGGTCAAACATTTTGTTGACTTCTCCGAAGCATTTATTTTTTGTCCTAAAACGACTTTGCTTTAATAGAATTTAGCTTAGCATACATGCTTTTATGTGGTATTAAGGTTTGGTATATTAAAATTTAATACAGATTTCAATAACTTTGTTTAAATAAACGAGCAGTAATAGAAAAAAAAATTTTTAAACACAATTTTTAATTAAACCAAAATAAATATAAATTTAAATAATTTATATAATTAGCAAATAAAAAAAGGAATTCAAATATATTTGTATTTTACTTTCTCAAATATATGGAAAAAATGTGACCTGCATTTGACACAGATAACCTTTGTGTTATTACACACTATAACACTGAGGGAAAGCACATTCATTGTAATACAGAGTGAAATAATGCATGTTTTTCTTCTTTCACACCATGTACACATTGGTGAATCACTCATTTCCCCATATAATTCACATCAGTGAAGCATGGGTGTGCAGACATGCATTCATAATCACTAAGAGCCCCCATCCCATAATATACATCAATCAGTAGCCATTACTATCCCATACACTACGATTAAATTAGCATGTACATCCAGACATGCATTCATAGAGGGCATGTGTCTTGCATTTTACATGCACCTTGCTGCCATTGGTTGCTTAAGGTTTTCAGTTGGGTAGAAATGTAGCATGGTTGGTATATATTAAATAAGTTGAGTTTGTATGTGTGTACTTTCATGTCAGGTGATAAAGCAATTGGTTTTTTGAGAGTACAGTTTGCAAATATAAGGTTTACGAAAAAAGAATTGCAAGCTTTGAGTTGTGATAGAGTATTTCATCTATTTTTTTATGATAGAAGTGTGTAAGGTTGTGAGTTCCTGTGTGGTTATTTTTTTTTTAGTACTCAGATTTCATTAGCCAGTATGTGTATTCCTGATTTTATATATTTTTTCTGTATACTTTTTTATAGATACCAACAAGAAGTGGACCGTATCAAGGAAGCTGTGAGGCAGAGAAACTCCAAGAGACTGCACAGTGCACAGATAGGTATGTCAACAAATCCTTTAAATTTGAAATTATGTAAATTACTTGCTACTAGGAATATTACAATTTATGCATCTGTTAAATGACTAAGAATATATTTTCTCATCATAATGTTTAAATGAAAGCTAATAAATTGAATATACCAAGTGAGTATATCAAATAATATATGTCATTGTTCATTAGCTCAAAAAATACCCAGTAAATCTTTAAAATCTTGTTTTTGAAATTATTAAGAGACAGGTTTTTTTTTTTTTATCTTATAATTTTATCTGCTTGATGTTTATTTCAGTTAAGCCTGTTGTACGTCCAGGTCAGCAACATCATGCTGGCTCACCCCATGGCATTCGAGGTGGAGGAGGAATCCGAGGTGGAAGTGGACATGTTTCACCAAACCAGAATAACACCGCATATAGAAATACAAGCCAGTAAGTTAAAATGCCATTTTGTTACACCTGATAGATTTGCCGATTTTCACATGGAGATATGGTTGCACGCACACATTTGCACAATTCTATATGCAAAGGCAGGCAGGCAGGCTGGTTGTTTCTTTCAAATCAAAGTAATCTTCAAGCTAAGCTGCTTAAGAAAAACACATTTATATTTCTGATTCTGGCTTTGTTATATTGTTTAAAGTAAAAGATTTTTATCAATATGTTGTGTATGAAATTCGTTCCAGTAATCTTTTTTCATCAATACCGTGGTAAGTCAAGTATTTGTTTGTTGTTTGTTTTATAATTGGAGTGCCTGTGAACGATCTCTGTATCTAACAAATGCACGAGATGATTTTAAAAATTTCTTTCAAGGTCACACTCTTTTCAACAACCTAACCCTTTCTTTACGTAGTAGTTCATTGGAGCATTTACCAGGACACACCCGAGGAGAGAGCCCTCGCCGGGATCATCATAATCGACATTCTCATTCTTCCAGGTCTTCCTCGCGGTCAGGCTCAACTGACTCACTTTCAATGTTAGTTTTTGTTGCTTTTCTATTTTTCGTTTGCGGTGGTTTTCTCTCTATTATTACAATAATTTTACATTTATTTTGCTTGCTTTTATTTATAGTTATTTCAGCTTTTATTAATCTCAATTATATTCTGTACTCTCTACTTGCTTTGATTCTAATGATCTGGGGGAAAAAAATCACCATTTTAGCTGAATTCTCTGGAATGTTTTTAGCATGTCTCTGTATTTAAGAGGAAAAGCAATATTATCTCATTGCCATTAAGACTCATGGTAGATAGTTGAAAAATAAGGATTCTGTTACATCATACAAAAGCATATGTCATTAATTACATATGAAACCCAATGGTACTGTTCATTCTTGGCTATCTTCACTACCTAATGAATATTCATGTGGAATGTGGGTTGACTTATAAATATTCATGAATATTGTGATAATTTTATAATGTACATTTATTTTTAATAACACTGTGGTATAATTAATGCCTGTATGATCATTCTGACTAAATCTACTAGGTGCTCTTAACTCATCTATTTCTTAATTTCCTGTTGGTAACGTTCTATTATCCATCATTCATTTAATTTTACACCACTATGCATATTGAGCTTTATAGTTTAGGATTGTTCTGATCTTGATAAAGAGCATTTTGTATGATTCTCTTTAATGAGTTGAAGTAATAGTGTCTACTAGTACTAGATAAGCATGCGTAAATGTCTACTTTGTGGGTTATAAAATGTCATTAATATACCTTCATTAATTTGCACTTTGAGGTTAACATTACTCTCTAACCTTTATTAATAAGATGTAAGCTAAGTATTGCTTGTAATGGGTTTTAAATTTGTCAAGTAAAGAAGGTAAGGTGGATTAGTCAATTTAATGTTTTGGCTATCTAATAAATTGTATTGTAATACAATGAAATTCGAACAGCATTAAAACTTACAAAAATTTAAATTGCCTGAGCAGAAATTTCACTTTTCATATCAAGAAATTTGATACTGTCAAATCCAAATTTTCTTAGTAGACTTGAGTGTTGATACTGATAGCTCAGTTGAGACTTTATAATTATTTTTTGGTAGTGATTGATTATTTTATTGCAATAATTTAATTGCCGTAAATTTTGGAAGAATGTTAAATTCAGACACAATGTATACATGGGTCTAGCCTTAAAACATAAAAAGGTGTAAATTCAAAAATAAGCTTATCATAATGAATTTTTGTGTAATTACAATCTGTTAATTGTGAATAAGAAAAACGCAAAATTTAGAAGACTAAAGGAAGAATAGGAAAGACTCGGAAATATATACCGAAAATCTTGTTATTAATGCATTACGTTTGTGTAAAAAAATTTTATAGGCACAATCATCAATAAAAACTACACTGAGAACATTATATAATGTAAGAATATTTTTTTTGCAAATCCTATTTCTTATTCTTCTTCTGTTTTCATGTTGTAGGTCTAACCATGTGAACAACAGTCACCAGAATGCAGATAGCTCTGATAAGAGAAAGAAATTGCCAAACATACCCCCTGGAGGTTGGTCATCAAACACTTTGTTTTCATTATATGTGATATTGAATTACAGGATGTAAATCTAAGATATTAGTGTAAAGCAGGACACTTGCTGCACCACACAGCCGTCAGCCAATGCAATTCTACGGAGAAAGGCAAAACGTGCGCAGCGGATCGTCTTTAATGACGATTTGTTCAGGTACTGAAAATCAGCAGATGCCGTCATGTCGCCCAGTGGTCATAGGGAGCAGAGCTGGATTCGCCGGCTGACAGTTGTATAACCGTTGTGTGGCGTAATCAGTGACCGGCTTTAGTGCCACGTTAAGGGACCTGAATCTCAAACCGACATAAAAAAAAAAACCCTGCTTTTTCCCACCCGATACTAGGTATAACATTTTGTCCTTAAATAATTTAAACTTTACACACATTAACCCTTCCCTTTCCATCATAAATGTACACATGCATGGTAATATATATATTTATTTATATATGTGGTGTATGTATTATGTAACTTTCTTTTATGGTAAAATGGTGAATTTCAAGATTGTAAAGAATTTGTTGGCTAATGGTGGTGCATTTTAATAGGGGCTTGTTAACTAATTAATAATTTTTTTAATGACTTTAAGATACTCTCACATAACCACTACCACTAATCATTGAACCCACATCACCTTCATGCCCCAATTAGCCCCCCCCCCCACATTTTAAGATTTCTAGATACGCCACTTACCTTTGCACCAATTGCTTCCAACATAAAACAATATACTATTGAATTGGGCCATCTCATTGCCATAAAGGGGGTTTTATATATATATGTCCCTAGATTTATATACATTTTAAACAGCATATGTTTGAGATGGGATATGAATCATAAGGTACAGTATGCATGCATGCATATATGTCTATAGCAGTACCTGTACAGAATAGGTTGCTACATGTGTGCCTATATTTGTGTTGTGCCAAGTTTTTCCATGTCATGTTTGTGTTGCATTTGTAATTCTTCCAGGCAGGTTGACCGATGCCGATATTCAGGCAATGAGAGCAAGAAACAAAAGGGGAGGAGCCTCCTCCAATCCTTCTGTAGTTGGTGAGGTTTACTAATTGATTGACATGTGTATTAACCAACAAAAATGATGAGTGTGTAGTTTGCTAACAGATTGTTTTGCACCGTGGTTACATATTATAATTCTTGATCTGGATAAGATTTTTTTGGATTTTGTCCATATGGAGTTTCTTATTTATTTTATTTATTTCAACAATATTTTGTGAGGGTGGTCCATCCAGCCTTCATGCTATACATAGTTTTAGGCCCTGTGAACCAAATTTAGCAAAATATAAATTGCTATTTGACAGAAGCCTCAGAATAAATAAATGAATGAATGAATAAATAGATAGATAGCGCATTCAAATCCCATATTATCATTTTTTATCATCATCAAAATGTATATGTACACCTGCCATGAATTACCTCTCTTTAGCGTACCTTTGTCAAGGTGACTGTAGTACTGTAATTTTAGGTCTAGCACTAGAGCCAGCTGAGACTCAAGCCTAGCCTAGCATGAACATATTGAGTGCCCACACTACATGAATTGACCTGGGTTGACCTAACTCAGCCAGCAGAAATTGTTGCGCCTTAACATTGTGTCGAAAGCTTTGATTGGTCATATAAATAAAACATAAACCCAGAATCAATCCAGGGTCAACCTGTGGCTACCATGCATGTGTTGAGAGCGATCTTATCAACCCAAGCTAGTTGATAAAGACTTAAGTCCAGTGGCGGACCATCAAGGCAAGCAAGGTATGCAGTGCCTACCCTGGCTAAGACAAATAAAAACATATAGTAGTACAGTTTCTTTATTATATTTAGCATTTCTTAGTCAGAATCTTCTATAAGCCATATTCGAGTGGATTGCTACAGTTCATTGGAAAACCAAAGTTTTTCAATATTTGGCCTACTTTGGTATCTAGGATAAGTCATAATCGGGCCTATCGCATCGTAATCTCAGCTCCTATAAATTTCTGCATGGCTGGTTTTCAATATCAGCCAATCACGTATTCAGAGAGTCATGGGAGTCGGAGCATACCCTACAACGCTTAAATTTGCTATTGTGACAACCGTGTTGTGGTGTCAGAATAGCCAAACTAACCATGGAATAGAAGCAGTGCTTCCAAGAGTATGTGCGCATGCTCTTCTTTTCACAATTCGGGACCTCCACACTATAATATCTATAGGCCTAATCTCAATGATTAAAGTTTAAATAAATTTGAATACATATAACCGGTATAGAAGAAACTTATTATTATTTGAATTGAAATTTGTTAAAATACATTGTGGTCAAAGGTCATGACGAACTAACAACCTGTTTCAAACTCGATCATAAAAAACTCTTAAATTGCTTTTAATTATTTGCACTACGGTAACTTGACAGTACAAAAACTAAACATCAACATTTTAAGAAGTAATGTCGACCAGGTCGAGCTCAAAGTCTGTGCAGGCTTGCGTGAAATCCACTGACAAATTGCTATTCTCTTTTTTTTTTTCTGGCTGTCCCATCACAAGATTTGTTTTTCTTATCTTCTCAGTCTTCCCATCTTCCTTTTTCTTGTCTTTTAAATTTTCATTATCAATTTTGTGCATTTCAATTTATTTAAAAACCATTGTATTATTTATCTCTGTTAAAAAGGAAGTAAATAAATGTTGAATTGATTGATTGATTGATTGAGGAATAGGAATTCTTTTGAACAGAAGATGCTACAACAATGCCGGTATTAAAAACGGGATTAAAAACAACATACATTTGTATTTTGACTATAGGACGCAATCTGATTCTATATAGTAATAGGCTAACAAACTTATCCTACTAGCAGGTCTTAGCATCAGTGGAGTGGGGCTCTTATAATGGAAGGAAGCTGATGGGGATAGGAAGATGGGGGATCATTGATTTGTGGTGATTTTTAACTACTTGAGCTGGGGGATGGGCGAGTATTTTTTTTTCAGGGGGAACGTGCGTGCCCCTCGCACATCCTAGATATGCCAATACCTAGCATACCCTGCAATTTACCCTACGGTCTGCCACTGCTCAAGTCTTATGGTCGCATTAGTGGTTTTATCATTGTCTAATCTATCTTTAAATCATTAGTTTACACCAATATACTCCCATGTAGCTACTTAAGGATGAACATCTCAGGATGAGTACATTTTTTACAGGCAGAGAAAGATGAATAGGGGATCAAAAATATATAATATACATTATACTATGTATATTACCTTTATGATGATCTGTATTATGTAGAGTATAGTATTATCATTTTATTTTGTAAAGTGTGATACTTAATTTGCTTTCATGCTTTTTATAACATATTTTATGAAGTGTGATACTATATATATATTGCTTTTATTCAAAAAATAACATCAAAATTGTGTCAATGTAAAGATTGTACAGTAAAACTACTAATGTTAACAACCTAACTTAGTTATCTTGAGCATAGAGATACAAGTCCTTGTGCTGACCATCCTTGCTCTTCCATGGACCTACAGCTTTCTTGTGCCCTTGCCCTGTATAGGCTACCATAAAGCTATCTATCATTTATTTTTACTGTAGAGCTATGGGTCCTTGTGTTTGTACTTTCATTTTTCTTTATAGCATACCATTTGTTTTATTCTATACTATTCACATTTGGAGTGTAATATATTCTAGGCATCTTTTACACAACCCAAAAAAAATGCACACTTTAAAGCACATAGTGTAGTAGGTACAGTAGGTATGTCATGGTACCACATGACACCGCTTCTTTACTGAGTAACTGCTTGGCAGGTGATCATTGCAGCCGAACAACTCCACAGTTTGTAAACTGATGCATTAGAGCCTAGTCATTTCCAATTAAAAATCAAATAAAACACTACAATTTGGCATTATTCTATTGTCGTTTATGTTTACAAAGCAAAAATTAAGGTAAAATGTAAAATTAAGTTTGAAAATAATGTCGGTTGAAAAAGCTATGTCAACTCGGCCGTACTGATTGTTTGGCAGCGTTACTTGGTACCAACAAAGTAACACAACATGGTAAAGTGATATCAGTGAGGTATACCGTAACTCTATATGGGTTTATAGAACGTCACTTATTATGGTCTATTCCATCCTGTTGTGGTAAGTCATTGGCGGATGAGAATAAAATTTATGTTGATGAATATTTATCTATGCATCTATATTTTTTTTTAATCAAATATATAGATTTTCTGTTTCAGTGCATGTGATCATTTTATAACATATTCTTATTTTGCAGTTTGGTTTATAATGCAGTCTTATGATTGCACACTTAAAAATAATCTTAATATGCTTTACAATTATTAATAATCATCTTGATGCCTTTTGCTTTTTATGATACTTTTCAATTTTAATACATTATAAGCCCTCTTTTAGGACACTGCTATGAAAGGTGAATCTAGAAAATTATATCTTCTAACATTATGGGACACACTTAATAATATTTTCCAATATGTTACGTTATCTTAGATCAATAAAGGTAGCCAAACAGAGAGCTAAAAAATACAATAATAAAATTTTGAGGACAAAATTCATTAAAACAATGGCTTACAATTTGGTTTTCATGCAGTTCAATCATTGCAGTTCCTATTTTATGTTATCAGCAAGTATTCCACACTTCCATTGTTGCGGTTGAATAATTTGCATGCTGTAATATGAGTAGTAAAGAATGCAAGTGTTGCTTGGCTGCATTGGTGGTAAAGTTTGTTTTGTTTTCTTGACATGCATATTATATTGTTGATTTCAGGTAAATTAACTGAGGCTGATATAAGGGCAATGAAGGCAAGGAACAAAAAAGGAGCAAACTCAGATACATCCAGGAAGCCATTGTCAAGTGAGTGTTTTATCTTTGAAGCCAGACTCAGCAGACAATATTAGATCAGACTTGATGTTCATGTGACATACCTAAATATGGTCATGATGACATCACATCATAACCATATATAGGCACATCATGACTATATATGGGCATACAACAGGTTTTTTTTTCAAAAAATATTTGATAGTCTGGCAAGCAGATTATGTCTTGATTCTTTCAATCTTTGCTGGAGGTCAGACATTGCTCTACTTCATCAACGTTTGATCAAACATAGTTAAGTCTGACAGGCAAAATTTTATAATGAGTGGCTTTCATCTTCAAATTTGTTGGGAGTTTCTTGTTTCATCATTTCCATCAGCAAAGCTTAAAGGGAAACAGGTGGAGGACAGGCAGAGAAAGTTCTCTGTGGCCCAATCCATTGGGTTGGAAAGAAAGCTTAGCTGGGTTTTGCCACTTACTTACCCTACTGCAGGTCCATATGTAGCCCCAGACATCCTTTATTGGGCTCTGGCAGCTTTACTAGGCCCCTAATTTACATCATGAACACATCATTATTATTAAAAATAAGATCTTGTGTTATCTTACTCACTTAAGTCACTTGCATTTTTTGTCTCCCCACAGCCAATGAAACCTACTAGCTGAGTGAAGCAACATCAGGATGTGTTCAAGATGACTAATCACCTGACCTAATCCATTCACTTATTCTCATCTGTTAATCCCTTAAAAAAACAGATTCACAATGAAAAAAATCCCAATTCAGTAGTTGTATGTTGATAATACATGGTTGTAAACTGAATTTGAAGGTCAGAAGGGTTCTTAACACAGAGAAAAATCATTGCAATCTTCAGAAACAGATCCAGAAAAAAATATTGAAAGCTGATATACAAGATGTATCCATTTGTAATTCCAAATATTTCATCTCCAGTTGCTTATCCCAACTCACAAACCCAGGTAATAACAATCTTGCGGTAATCTACCAGATCTGAATGCTACTCGGTTTGTTTCAACCTTTTACTAGATTTTTAGTGATAAGATTTAATGTTGAAGTAAAATAACTGTTAAGATGTTAAATAAAGACATCTAGTTAAGTCAAACCACCAAATATCAGTTATAAAAACTGAAATCTTAGGAGAAGTTTGTAGTTAAGAGTTGTTGCAAGTGTAAATTTGTAAAATCTTTTAGATGTAAAGTGGGTTTAAAGGGGTAAATCAGGCTAAAGAAATAGGAAATTAAATGTTTAATGGCTGTATATGTGATATCATTCATTCACATGCATTTATACATTCTTTTTTATTTGCTTAGATGACATATCAGGAACATATCTGATTTAGCATTTCCTTATGCTAAAAACCACCTTCTAGTAGATGTTGCTATATCCTCATATTTTTAACTCACATATTATCCTCCTTTTTACCAAAAGCCATACAAATATTTTCAAAACAAATTGGTAATTGTCAGACCATGTGACCATACAAAACTATTAACATCATGTGACCAAGTTTGTAATCCACAATAGTGGTGGATTCAAATTAATTTCCCCCCCCCCAAAAAAAAATTAAAAAAATTTCAAAATTATTTTTTAAAATGGAGAAAAAAGGAGAATATTCATCAAATTTAGGTCTGAGAGTGCTATTTCTGGCCATCTAGAGGTGCCATAATCATAAATTTCTTACCTGAACTCCAGCCATTTTGGGGCCCCTAGGCCCCTCTATTTTGACTTCCTGGATCCACCACTGCTAAAAAAGTAAGATGGTGAAATCTAGTTCAGCAGTGATCAAACCAATCTCAGTACTGATCTCTGTCCTGGGGGTCTCTAACCCTGGTGGTCCCAGTCTATGATGGAAAGGTAATCCAAAATTAGCTAATTGAAATCAAGTTGTTAGGCTGTTTTAACATTCCCAGAATCCTTTGCAAATGTACATCACCTCTCATAGTAAATTTGTGCAATATTGGATTGCTGAAGAGTTGACAAATTTTGATAACAAATTTGCTCAGTTAATTTTCATCTAGGATTGATAAGTATTAACTTGAATCAATCCCTCAGGCTAGTGGGATGTGTACAGAAGATGGTAGTGTGGTGCCTAGTCTCTCTTCTCCCTCAGGTTTTTGCAAGTATTTAGACAAATGCCTTGCCTCTTTTCAACTCATCTTCAGTATTAGCTTCATAAACTATATTCTGGTGCCGGATTAACAACAACAAAAATATGTAAGACCCACCTTGAAGCATTTCATATCCCTGAAAATGCTGAGCTTCGCTGAGAGAGATTACTGTATTTTAAATCAATATATGCATAACTATATAGTACAGCAAGTGATGAGGGCATTATGATTGATAAATTGCATTTCCTGTGATTGGCGTGCATGGTCCAATTAAACTTTATCCTTTTTTTAACATTATTTCAGTTTTAACAAATTCAACCTTGATTTTGTATTTAAAATATAAACCTATTTGTGGTTATTGTATACTTTATTTAAGTACTTAAAATTCCATTTATTTCTTCAAATATTCCGTTATTACATTATATTTTACAAGTGTTGATATGCTAGTAAGTAGAGCACACAAAATATACCCTTAGTCATAGTTGAGAATCCTATAAGGGAGGGTCTGTATTTGAAGCAAGCAATGATACTACAGGGTTGGGGATTGCAATCATTATCATAAACACAAACTGTAAAGCTATTCCAAAAAACAAAAAAAAAATATTTGGCCATGTCTAGAAACTAGTTAATGCTTGTGTCACAATGTCTAGTTATTACAATATGATTTGATGTTAAGTTCTTGTCCTCCATTCCTATTTTCTCCCTACTCTGATGTGTAGTTTCAATCCAAGAGAAACATCATATCATGATGTGTCGTTCCAGGATTTACATCTTCAGAGTTTTTTTTTTTTTTAACTTTTATACTTACTTTTTAATCCTCTTAAGTATTTGCATCTTCATTACAATATCCTCATATTTTGTTACAAATGGCAGTGCAGTATGTCTTAGAGAAGCATCCTTTGATGTGTCGTTCCAAGATTACTGTTATTCCTTTTGAAGGTACAAATTCTTTATCACAACACCCTCTGTTAAATTTTTTTAAGAGCCTCAAATTGAAATGTTTGCTATTAAAACATTATTATATAGTATGGTACAATAGACGGTTTATTATTAATGTTTTTATCTTAAATTGTTCATTAAATCATTGTGTGATGATTGCAGTCCCCTGAATACACTGTGTTCACAAAATGCTAGTGACTTAGATTAAGCGACATTATACAAGAACCGATTATTGTTATTACTATCTAGCAATGTGGTGAATTAGAAATACCATTCTCATAAATTATCCTGCCGTTGTTATTATAGATAGGTAGTCCAATATTGTGTTACAAAATTGATTAGTCTTTCCCATGAATATCATCTGCTTGCTATTCCCCTTTGCAGATTACTATATAAGTATATAAGAACATAGTACTGGAATTGTATAACATACATACTGTATACTCATTAGTTAAGGCTTGTTGCTTAATGATACTTGTTATATATGTGGCCGTTACGCTAACGTTTATGTATGGAAAATAAATTGTGTGTGTGTGCGCTACAGTTGTATTGTACCTTGCATAGCAAACCATCACAAACAGTATAGCAACTCACATGTACAGGTAGTTGTGCATGTATATATGTTAATATAAATATATATGTATATCGTAGATGAATCAATGTTAACAGATTAGTTTACAACCAGGTCGTTCAATCAATGAGGATTCCCTTGCAATATTTTTTCTATTGAGGTAAATCATGGAGTTTTTCTGAATATTTTTTTTACAAGATATTTTATGTTGTTATTGCTATTTATTTATTTTGTTTTAAATGCATGTTCAATTCGGAAACTCGTATAAAATTGCATAAATTAGATTTTTTGTCGAAATCAAGTATGAAATAACTTGTAAAATAGGACAACACGATTAACTTATGTGATTGACTATAAGTTGTATATTGCTGAAAAAAATCATTTAAAAAAAAAACATATTTGACAGGAGGTTAGGAAAAAGGAGTAAAATTGATGGTTTAGTTTATAGGTTGATTTAAATCAAATGCAATATATGTTAATTATTTTTGATTTATTATGCAAATAAGCAATAGTAATTCGGGTTAATTGACCATTGTGTAATCCTATATACATAGGTAAACTAATTGTTTTTTTTTTTTTTTATAAATTTAAGGTTGCACAATTAATGGTTTTGGTATAATTTTTAAGTTGTAATGTGTATTAATTATGATGTTTAAAATTTATTTTTTTTTTAAATTAATTTTAAAGATAAACCTATCTACAGTAATTACACAAAATGTACATTCTTATTGCATAAACAATTAGTTTTCTATAAAATTAAAAATTATTTGGAAAAATTGGGGCCATTTTGGTTATTTTGGTATGGAGTGGGATGCGGAATGTATATTGTTTTTCTTAACAAAATTTAAGATTTGAATAATGATTCATTGTCCATAAATTTCTCATCTTTTGTGTATTTTGTGAATGAAGTTGATAGAAGAAATTGCTTGATTGATAAGAATAAATAAGAATATCATAAATTTTAATTTACCGATTTAGAAAAAAAAATGTATATTTAATTTGAAATTTATGTACAAATCAATCTAATTTCCTTTTTATTTGCTAGTTTGAATTAAGTACAGATTAAAGTCCTTGTAAAAATAAAAGAAAATGAATGAAGAGTGATGCTGCTGATGCGAGCGATGATTATAGTGAATGTGATGTAGAGATTCAGAAAACCAACTAGGTTTGCTACAGTGATGTCGCACTAAATTTGAGCTAATAATTGACATTGGCAGTGGACACCTTTAAAATGCATTGAAGCACATTCGTTACATAATTTGCACAAGTAGCTAGGTAAAATATCCGATCCTGGACATTTCAACTAATTTATTGTACTTGCCATTAATTAATCCACAACGCATGATTAACTCATTAACAGGTGTTAGGTTAGATGTCAGTGGTATGGCCTCCTTGCAGGCTTTTGTAAACAGCACCCGCTATCATATTCTGGAGCCATCCGAGTATGCTAGTTTTCTAAACCAGGTTTCCTTGGAAGCTTCCTGGTCTATTAGGTAACTTTTTCTGCTATGGTTGGTAAGATTTAATTATGGAGGAGCATTGATAATTCTCCCACCTTAAAATACCAGTGATGTCCATGTGCTTGCATATCTCACATCTCTGTCTTTATTAGCTATGCTTGTGTCTTTGTAAATAGGGAACGTGAAGGCAGAGACCAGCAAGAGTTCAGACTGGTTCAAATGAATAAATTGTAATGCTCTTTATGGCCAAATAAAAACTAAAAGCTTCAAAATTGTGTAATTTGTTTTTGTGTTGCAAGTTATTAACACGGACAACAGAGAAGGGACCAATTACGGACGTACGGAAAAAATACTAGGGATATTTATCATAAATAGGTCTGAAGTCAAGAACAAGTCTTCATTGTTCATCTCCACCTCAAATTGCGCTCAGCTACATGTAGTTGCATACTCGGGTCCACATTGACATCATCCAGTTCTAATGTTCTTTATTGTCCTTCTGGTCGGTTGAAAACACATGACGATAGATCCTTGCGTTGCTTCACCAAAGTTATGGAACAACTTGCCCAATTTCATAGGGTCATTACCATAGAACAAATGACATTTCCATCATGATCATTGGTTACGTTGTCCCTAGACAACTCGTATTTGTCAGATTACTGATAAATTGCCGTTTGGAATTCCACAGCTATTACAGTATTATTGTACCTTTAGTACAGTATAAGCCACCCATATTTTGTACTCCAGAAACTTTTTTTCTCTTTCGTGGGGCAGCCCACTTTTATTAAGTCTCTCTGTTACAATATGATAAACAAAAATTGTAAATATTTTCAAACATTATGAATACTACAAGAATAGCTCAAGATACTGCACAAATAAAATATAGTTAATAAATATATGAATGAGAATATAATTTTTTTACAGATTGCGATAAAATGTGATATTTTGAAATAAATTAAACCTTGCACTATGAGCCTAAATATAGTAAAATAATAAACTAAGTCGGTAAAATTTATATTAAAAGGGGATTTACATTCAAAATATTGCAAAATAATATATGGTATTATAATGGTAAAATAGCTACATTGGAAATTTCTAGATCTGTGAAAACTATATACTCCAGAAACTTTGTAGACTTGGTTATTGAAATGCATTTTACTAAGTCGAATGGTCGAGCAGTTAAAGCAGGGGCCCTGCAACTTACAGCCATCGGCGCTGGTTCGAACTGCATGCTCACTTATGGTTAAGTAGTTGGAGCAAGTCTTCTCAGATAAGGACTATAAACCGTAGGTCCAGTGTAAACAATTGGCTCATGTGTACTATAAAGAACCCAGTACATCTTTTGAGACGAGGGGGTTACTCCAGTGTACTGGTCCATATAGCACCTGTTGTGGACAGATAAGAGTAGCTGGTACCGGTTTACAGGCCAGCTCAGACACGAAGACAAGTTGCTGTATGAGCTACTGTAATCCACGCTTTGCGCACTCTGATCTTCATGAAATAGCACTATATACCTAAATCAAGGGTGGGCATAAAAATCGGTCAGAGGGCCAAAGTGAATTTTTGATTTAACACTAAGGGGCCGCACCCAAACTTTTCCAATGAGCTTTCAAAAACCTCCAAGCACTGCTTTTACACCACTTTATTTTAAGTTTTAATCTTATTTTCTATACATGATCAGTGGTGGGCCGCACACATTGGGTTTTTAATTCATCTTCGCGGGCCGCACTTTGCCCCCCTGAGATATAAGTGATTGTATGTATGTAACTCAAACCCATTCTATGCAGAATAATACAGTACTATAATGTATAATTTATACTTTAGTAATATTTTTTTCACCTACATACACACCAAGTTTCTATATTAATATTAAATAGGGGTGTATCACTTTTCACATGTTGTATTGTTGCTTACGACAAGCTGCGCTAATACTGTATCATCTGGTGCATGGTATTATTTACACAACACGGATATTCATGGAAGCATATAATATCGTAGGATTTTGAACATCTTCAAAAAATTATAGTCGCATATGTCATAACACAGCTTATCGTAATCAAAATCTTAACGTGTGCGACCGGCTTTAATTGAATTACAAACTCGCACAAGAAATCAGCAGAGTATAGCTTTCAAGCAATGTAATTTTATTCTCTTATGTTAATTATACAGTACAGGCATTTTTGTCCTCAGTTGGAAACGCGCCTTGACTGCTCCGAGACCAAAAAAATATTACATTAATTTGTGTAATCATAGGCCAACAATTTTATAGCATCAACAATTAAATAATATGCTAGCCTTTTTAGTGACAGTCAATTGCACAATATATTTCCACAAAATATATAATGAATTAAGTAAGATACAGTATTAGAAAACACTTAGTTCTATGAAGATGACATCCACTTTAGTATCAAACTTGACGAAAGATACCGTAAATGCTCAAATAAGCGCCGCAGCGCTTAATCAACAGTATTTGCCCTGTGTGTAATGAAACACTTTGAGGAACAGGGTTTTAAATACAATGTATACAGTTGTTAAAATATATAAATAACATAATGAAGACAAGCATTTCTTTATAAACATTTTATTTACGATCTGAACTAAGGGTAGATGGGATAAACAAGCATGAAAAACTCCATACCAATATTTTTTTTATAAGCACTGGACTGAAACATACAAAATTTTATAAGCGCTGTGGCGCTTATTCGAGCATTTACAGTACTTAATATTCACAGGATGAAATACTTCAAAGATAAGTCCTGGGCAGCGGGCAGCTTCTTTTTTTTTTCTTTTTTTTTCTTCGACATTTTAAATGGGCTTCTTTTCGAAGCTACTTTTGGAAATTAAAGAGGGGGCTTCAACTTGAGATTTGGTTCTTCACGATATTAAGCCTGTAAACTTCTATTCAAGTTTCTACGGTATTTTTAGTCTGCTAATTTTAAATTCTTTGTAGCCACTGCCTCAACTAAGACCAGTCTTTGTGACTGATTAAGCCGCCCTGGTTAAAAACTGCAAATAAATAAATGAGTTGAACTAGCTTGGTGGTTAAGATGCTTACTTCTTAATTGTATTCTCATGTAATTCAGCGAAATGCTGCCGGTTGTGATCAAATAAAATTGAATTGAAATTGTGGTGGTGTCTAAGTTTGTTGAGAGCATTCTTTCTTAAACTCAATACTTAGGGTTAGTCAAAGGAAGAGGCTGCTAAATAGAATGCTAAACATTTTTTAAATTATACAATCCAAGAAGTGACTTTTTAAAATCAGATACTTTAGGTTTCATTGTGAAAGATTTGTAGTAAAATTAAAAAAATACATGAAAACCTATTAATCAAGTTATTAACTTTCTAGCTTTCAACTTTCGATAACTAACGCAATGTTGTAGTTTTATGTAGTATAGCTAAGTGTTTTTACCTGTTCGGTTGGAAATGACAGTACATCTGTTGGTTCATCAACATCTCGATAATTTCTATTCATTTCCTGAATTTCTTTGTTACCAACACAAATAACAGCAACATCCACTTGTTCAATATTCAACAGTTTCCTTAAAATATTGGTGTCTTTATAAAGTATTTGTGAATTGAACTTGACGGCTGTCTGGAGGTTTCTTACTAGAAGAGTCATCCTTTTTTAATGGAAAAGAAGGGTAATTGATACATTGACATTGTGCAATATTTTTGAAATTCTCTTTTTTTTTTTAATGGCATGATTTTTGGGATCTGCTACTCTAATAGTGGGAGAGGGGGTGCAATATTCTTGAAATTTTTTTTTTTTAATGACAAGATTTTGTTTTGCTCAAGAAGCGGGATCAGCAGCTACTCTAAAATTATTTACAACAGGGGCGGATCCAGAGATGTCCAAAGAAGGGGGGGGAGGAAAAAAAGTGGGACCGATCGAGATAATACTATCGTAGGGGGTCCAGGGGCATAGGGCCTATGTATGTGAATCTTTTTTTCTTTTCTTTACCTTATAAAAGGGGGAGCTGTGGCCGGCCCGGTCTCCCCACCCAAATCCTCCCCTGAACAATACACTACACTGTAGTAACAAGGTCCTACTCAGTACTACTGTCTAGGAGGGCCAGGAGGCCGA